AGCAAGTTTATGATATATTAAGTGAAAATAGTAAGTTTTGGAGTAATGTATATAATAGGATTGTATTTCATGGGAAACAAATGCAAAATTCAATCAATCTCTCTACCTTTCTTCTTTTTTTCCATCTATGTGTATGTGTGTAACCTATATAATTGTGAACAAATTATATAGGTTTGATTATACTATGTCGTTTGTGAAAAGATGCATGTCAAGCTTTTAACATGTTTACCTTAGATGACAGGGACAGAGTAGAGAGATAAAATTGGTTTTTTTAATATTTATAATTTTGTATTATTTCAATTGTGACAACCAGCCTTTATTAGTTTTATAAGGGGGGAGGGGAGGTGAGAGTCAACCCAAGGACTTGTATGCATGCATATAAGGCATAACCCATGGACACAGACAGTAGGGGGGTGAGGGCATGTGCTGGGGGTGGGGGGAGGTGGGAACGACCGGGGAGAGGTCAATTGGGGGAGAAGGAGACATATGAAATACTTTAAACAATAAATAATTTTTAAAAAATTAAGCAAACTATATAAAATAACATGAGGCTGGCCCTGCTGGTTTGCCGCAGTGGGAAGAGTGTTGGCCTGCGGACTGAAGGGTCTCAGGTTTGATTCCAGTCAAGGGCATGTGTCCAGGTTTCGAGCTTGATCCCCAGTGAGGGCGGGGGCGGGGGTGCGGGAGGCAGCTGATCAATGATTCTTTCTCATTATTGATGTTTCTCTCTCTCTCTCCCTCTTCCTTCCTCTCTGAAATCAATAAAAATATATTTAAAAAATAAATAAAATAACATGAGGCTGAGTTTTACACAGTGTGTGGATTTAGTGGTAAATGTCATACCAGTTCAGGATTCATATGTAAATTTTCTAAATTTTATCTAAAAAAAATCCATATTCATTTTATGAAGATTAAAAAGTATAGAAAACCACATACACACAAAGAAAATAAATATCATCAATAATTCCAGTCCCTAGAGATAGATGTTATTAATGTTTTGGAGTAATTATTTTCTGGCCTTCTTTTCTTTCTGTGTGTATCCATGTGTATTTTTTAAAAAACAAAAATGTCACACACTGTGCATAACCTACTTTTTTAAGTCTAACAAAAGTAAGTTTTGTGAATAATCAAATATCCCTTCTTAGGATTAGATTTAACGAAAACTAAATAACAGTGATTTAAACACAAAAGTAGGCAGTTCACAGGTGATGGGTTGGTTTCACAAAGTTAGAACTGTCTACCTAATTGTGGGGCCCAATGAAAAAGAGAAAATGTGGGACCTCTTACTTAAAAAGTAGGGTATGCCTGGCCAGTGTGGCTCAGCGATTGAGTATCGACCCAGGAACCAAGATATCACTGGTTCGATTACTGGTCAGGGCATATGCCTGGGTTGTGGGCTCTATCCCCAGTAGGGGGTGTGCTGATCAATGTGCCCTTCATCTGTATACTAATGTCAGTTTTAAATGCAAATATAAGAACATGTAATTTGTATATGGAATCCCTGAATCACATGATTTGTATTTCATAGCATGTGCATGCATCTGTACCTGGTTCTTACCAAAACAGTAACAATGCTACACAGAATGAAATCAACTATTTTTATTTCACTTCTTGATACACATGCAGTACCTTCTACCAACACTCGGACTTCAGCTTACTGATGAGTAAGAAAGAAGGACTGAAAGGAAAAGGACTATGGGTTGTCTATCTTTTCCTTCTCCATGTCACCATTTACAGGATAAGTTGTTGACTACTTCAGGGAATTAACATGAGTAAGAAATGATACATGTTTCTGGGAATACCGTTGCCTTCTTTCTGGGTAGCAAGTTCTGGTTCAAATGGAAAGTGTGGCCTCTCGGAAGTGTCAGGAACCCAGCTTAACACGTTAAGCAACCTGTCAGTCACCGGTGACTAAAACGGAAAGGAAGACAAAACAGGCTTAGCGCTTAACATGTTAATCACTTTTAGATATAACACACTTTCCTTGTCCTTGCTTTGAGTCTTGCTGAACTCTGGCTCATTAGGGGACCACTGGAATTCTAAGCTCATGGGGATATATGTATACAAATGGGGCAACAAGGAACAATAAACAAGCATATTGCCTGTACCCCTCTTCTCACACCGATGTTCTATCAGACCTCATTTACAACACACAACTTCAAAGACAAAATTAAGAATTTCAAATAGCAACAATAGAGCATTAGCCAAGCAAAAGGCCCTTCTGAGCAGGGGTTCTTGTGTAACTGCATAGTTTGCATGCCTGTGAACCAAACATCCAACAAGTTCAGTGACCAAAAGTAACCTCACAGGGTGGTGATCGGATCATAAATTCCTATCTGCGTAGGTCAGGTGATAGTCACGCCCAGGCCTATAACTTTTGAAATAAAAGGTTAGTCTTTGCCTTGAACAAGCCCTGTCCATTGTTCTTGTGCTTCTAGTTTAACACATCTTTGAAAGGCCAGAGTAATCCTCTTTTCCAGACCCCTCAGAGGCATAAGCACCCTCAGTGGAGCACATAGTCTTGGTAACTATCCAGAAATCCAATCATAGATACTTGCTCACCTTGCTTTTTTCACCTTCATGTAAATTTTCCTTACATTCCTGCCTTAATTCCAGATGTATGAAAGAAACTGCAAAACTGTCATTCTCCAGAACATTTGAGATCTTGCTTCCCAGTGTGTCCTCAGTTTGGCTCAAATAACCTCTTATAAAAATTCTCTACAGATTTGGATGTTCTTACATCAACATGCCCATGCCATCCTGAATGAAATTAGGAAGTTACTAAAAAATATAGGTTAGTTGATATAGATAGGCAACTAATTGTCTCTGCCTTGCCAACCTAAAGATATAATTTATTTAACCAAATTTTTTTTTTAATCCTCACATAAGGATATGTCTTTATTGATTTTTAGAGAAAAAGGAAGAGAGAGAGAGAAAGAAACATCTATGTGTGAGAGAGAAACATCAATTGGTTGCCTCTTATATGATCGAATCTGAAACTCAGATATGTGTCCCAACAGGAATCAAACCTGCAACCTTTTGGTGTATGGGATGATGTTCCAACCAACTGAGCCACCCAGCCTGGCTAATCAAATCTTAATTTTTATATATGTGGGTTGTTTCTTTTTACCATTATCAATATAATTTACAGCCCGGCCGGCATGGCTCAGTGGTTGAGCATCCACCTATGAACCAGGAGGTCACAGTTTGATTCCCAGTCAGGGTACATGCCCGGGTTGCAGGCTCAATCCCCAGTGTGGGGCGTGCAGGAGGCAGCTGATCAGTGATCCTCTCCTCTCTCATCATTGATGTTTCTATCTCTCTCTCCCTTTAAATATACATATGTCATTTACAAACTTTAAAATTGCATCTTTAAGTTTTTAAAAACTTATTCCTAAAGCATATTTCTTTGGAAAAAAATTTCCATGAACTAAATCAAATTAAACACTATATACTTAATTACAGTTGCAATAATAACAACTGTTGTTTTTCTTTTTAAAGAGGACAATTAAACATACCGATATTTGTCCTGACATGAACACTGTGTGGATGGCTGAAAATAAACACATGTCAAAGTATATACCCAAATAATCTGTCAATATCAGGATGCACTGTATCATCTTATACTAATATTATCTATTGCTAATATTGAATATCAGGATGCCTTCTATAATTTGATTTTAATGTTATCAAGTTTCTAGTATTGAGTATACAGATGCATCGTGTCATCTTGAATTAATATTATCTATTTGAAATATGCCAGAACATAAAACCTAAGTGAAAACTAACTATTGTTTACTTTTGCATTAACATTTGCCTAGCATATAATCAAGCTGTTCTTTACTTGATGAAAACTAGTTCTCTGTTCAGTGTTAGTAACTCAAGACTAAAATAACTTGAATGTTCTTAGCTCATTGGTCACATCTTTGCCAAGCTTATCAAATTATTTCCATATGAAATGTAAAAAAGAGTTTACTAGCCTCCAAAACACTTTTATTTGAAGTAAATAACCAGGAAAGAATTTACTTATTCTAACTATTTTTAACCAATTCTTAAGTGACAAGAACTTGTAATTTATTAAACAGAAAGAACAGTTGTCTGCATATTTGGATTCTAGTATGAGGTTTTTCTGAATGAATTTGGGTACAATTAGATTTCAGAAATGGAACCATTAAAATCTGAGTATTACGAGCAAACTATTATTTATAGAGTATAGTTCTACATACTCTAACATTTTGTCCTTCACATATAAATATCTGCATACACGCACCATCTGAGTGTATAAAATTAAACTACCTGAACACCTTTAAAAAATTAAAGTAAAACGTTAAAATGTCTATAAAAAGAAATTCATTAGAGATTTCAAAATATCCGTAAGTGCTAAATAAGGTTTCCAGAAATCAGTGATTATGCTGAAACGTGTCACAAGGGGAACTGTTAACAAGTGTTACTTTGCCAATGGTAGGAAGATTGCCAACCTTTAATTGGCTTTAAAGTTGGTGTTCTATCAATGGAGTATTGTAAAAGGCAATAATGCCCACATTTATGATTTAAGCCTGCACCGGGAACTCTAGATTTGACTAAATGTGGCAGTATGCATTAGTCCTTCTAATTAAAAATATTCAAATGCCCACCTTTTACATTTGGTTAGGATGTTGATTATCATGTTTTTATTAAAAAACAGCAACAAAACAAAAGATGTTTGTTTCCACTTTACAATATCAGTGACCAG